GATGCTGCCCTCGAGAAAGTCTTCTTCTATTCAAGTCATAATGTGGTGAACTTTCGTATGTTACATCAATTGATAGAACACATCATTGGAGATAAGTGTCACAACTCACAGCTGGCGAGACAATAAAACTCATCAGCTTATACCTACCTGCCGTGTATATACTCTAGAAATATGATATTTTGAGGATAGTTTGTGTCATAGGCTAGCCCAAATGCATGCACACATAGAATCTTGCGTACGTATGTTCGTATGATTAGAATAGAGCATAAAATCTGTACTTGACCTTTAATATCTAAATACCTTTTTGTTAACCATCCACCTGATTCCGTGATGCCAGGCACACTTCTGGTTACGTGGATGAAATTTAATGTGTGGATTCAGCCCATAAAAAGTGCTCTTATAGCATTCATTTCCTGACAAAAAACGAGGGGAAGGGATTCAGGAGTTTAGCTACAGTGGAAGCCAAAATTAGATTTTCTTGCAATTTTGAATATGAATTTGTACGAAAAAGTGCTATTTAGATTCGCGGGACGATGTGCCGAAGACCAATTTGCACAAACCCATAGTCACTATTCCAATTAATTCTTCATTCTATTTCTGGTGATGTCACCTTAAGAGTGCATTCTTTATTCATTCTTCCAATTAAATTGAAAATTATGGATCCCCTAGTGCACTGTCTGTTCCTTCGCAACCCATTTTCTCTTCATGTACAGAAAGTGTGTCTGTAATTGGATGAAGGACGACATTTCAGCTGGTATTCATCAGAAGCGAAGGAGGGCATCATCAAACACAAGATTCCAGTAACACTGAACTTAAGCTGGCCAATTAAAATCCGCATTCGTCTGTTGATGGGACCAACTGCCAAATGATCTAATCACACCCTCACACTTTAGATTTATTAATCGATGGTATGAAGACAAATATGGTATGGCCTTTAGTATGGCTGCGGTCTCTTTTCGCTAAAATGAGTTGTTTACCTTTTTTTCACAACTTGGGTGACCTAAATTAACGCACGTTTTCTTAAGTCTATAGTAGACATGACAACTTCCAGAGTTGGACCGTTGACTCGATAAATGTCCGGACAGTTCACCGACATCTTCAGGGGGTCTTACCACTCTTAGCATCAAAATGCAGCCCGCTAAAGGGACAAGTGAAATTGATCCTTTGACTAAATCTATTCAATAGTTATGGTACTAATACATTCACTATATTCATATCTTTGTATCACACCCTTCGCTATCACAATAGCTAACTTGCTTATATAAATCTGATTGAGGTGCGCCTTTTTGAGCAGATTTGGTGATGCATATTCACCTCTTCATACAGGTCCTATAAAAATCTCTCTCTTGCTCCATAGGATCCGTCTCTTAGCTTCCAAGTTCTGTGATTTAGCTCGATCATTGCCAGCACAACCAAGTAGCCAAAGCAAGGTTAAACATCTTCAATAATATTGCTAATACTCCTCTTAGTGCATAGTCCTAACGAGGTTATCTTTCTTGTATCACAACTTCAAAATAGGGACTTTACTCCCAACCAACTGACTCCAGCCTCACTGAAAATCATGTCCTGTTAGACAGTCGCACAGCTTCACTTCTCCGGTTTAGCATGGCAAGTAAACAGTCAGTTTCCACCCAGCCCTCTGCATCCGACTTGCAGGTTTCACGTGTGAATACCGAGTTGTCATGGCAACCGATGCTCGATGTGCCCATGACCACAACTGTCCAACTCTCGCGGGCCGATGTCATCAAGCCTTTGCCTTTTTCTGCAGAGCATTTGGTTCCAGGAGCATCGGGAAATCGGATGATGCCACCCACCTTCATCAAGCTGGTCTGTGAAACCTTCACAATTCGCGGTGTTGGCCGACTCAACAAGGGGCCCCGTTTCTTGCGTAGCCTGTGGCTCTGTTTTGTACTCATCATGACGGTTGGTCTCTGCTTGACCATCTCTTTGTTGGTGAAAGATTACCTGCTTTACGATGTCACCGTAAACCTGCACGTTAAATTGGACGCCACCTCCGAATTTCCCGCCATCACAGTTTGTCATCATCAGCCATTTTCTCACCGAGCCTACCGCGACTGGCGCAACGGAGTGGGCATCTCACCTCGCGTCTTCACTCAGAAGATACGTGAACGAGCTCATCAACATCTGCTGAAGAATGAGGTCGGATTTGCCGAACAGATCCAGGCCAATTTGGGCATCAATTTCTACTATCAACACTTGGACTATCAAGAGGCTCTCAACTACGGCCACGATACCAGCATATTTTTAAGTTGCATGCGAAGAACTGGAAAGTACAAACAGATTGAAGGCAATTGCACACTACTTGACGGTTTTCATATACGTCGCTTCAACCATCACACCTACTTCAACTGTTACACCTTCGACCCGTCAAGCAAACAGGATGGAGAAGATACAGACGTGCTCTCCTTGGTCGTGGGGATGGGTCCGAGGCCGGATGATGAACAGGCTTTTATAACAGACATCTTCGAGATGGCTCGAGGACTAAGGTAGACACTAGTTTCAATATGTGCTCATGTTGAGATAGAATCATGCAAACAAATAATAATTATTATCCAAATATATTCATTTTCTTATAAGCAAACTATACATTTATGCAGATCCATCTTATTTTTCAAAGTTATTAATCATTATTATGTATAAGTGGGGTAAATTAACGCACTTCAAAGAATAAATTGCTGTTCAATGTAAGTTTAACAGAGAAGGATTACTTAAAAAACGTGAGTTCTAAAGAGAGGAAATATAAGCGAATTTTCCATATAAAATACCGGAGATTACACTGTAAATTTTCAAATCTGAAATTAATTAATTTTGATGTTAAGGTACCTTTCAATTGGTTTAAGAAGCGAGAGGTTCACTTCACGAATACATTCTTTATTAATTCTTACAATCAAATTGAAAAATATGGATCCCATAGTTCACTGTCTGCTCCTTCGCAACCCATTTTCTCTTCGTGTATAGGAAGTGTGTTGTTAATTGGATGAAGGACGACATTTCAGCTGGTATTTATCAGAAGCGAATGAGGGCATCATCAACTAAACTTGAGATGGTAAATTGAAATCCGCCTTCATCTTTTGATGGGACCGACTTCCAGATGATATAATAACACCCTCACATCTTAGATGGAACTAAGCTCAGCACCAATGATAATAATAATAATTAATTGATGGTATAAAGACAAAGATGTTATGGTATTTAGTATCGCTACAGTCTCTTTTTGTCAGAAGGTGTTGTTTAACCTTTTTTCACAACTTGGTCGTGTTGTCTGGGTGACATAAATTAATGCACCTTTTCTTAAGTCTATAGTAGCCATGACAACTTCCACAGTTGTACCGTTGAGATGGCTCGAGGACTAAGGTAGACACTGGTTTTAATATTTGCTCATGTTGAAATAGAAGCATGCATACAAATTAATAATTCACTCGAATAAGTTGCTGTTTAATGTAGGTTTAACAAAGAAAGCTTACTTGAAAAACGTAAGCTCCGAAGAGAGGACAGAAAAGCGAATTTTCCGTATAAAATACCGGAGATTACTTATGCGACACTGTAAATTTTAAAATCTGAAATTAATTAATTTTGATGTTAAAGTACCTTTCACTTGGTTTAGGAAGCGAGGGTTTCACATTAAAATATGAGCTGAGAGGAGCTAAACCTACCATTAAAGTTGTCCTTTTATTGTTGCTTAACTTGCCTAGAGTGTTGTCTTCAAGAGAGTAAAGTGTTTCTATTTGAACCTACACATCCACAGTTTGCCTTTCGCAGGGATTTTTGGTGAAAACATGAGATGAGTTAAAACTATAGACCCGCCTGGATGAAAATAGCTCTTTTAAATGCAAAATCAAGCCCTTTTTGTAATTTATCCTGTCTAGAAGTTCTGTTAGAAAAATGCCAAATATCGACATCTTATTTTATTTGTGCATCATTTAATTCATAACTCTAATCACGCTATTTGAAAGTTCCCATCTCATAGCTTAATAAATGCGGTGATAAAAATGGTATTTGCCCCATATTAAAATATAAATTTTTTCAAATAATAAAAATGCATTTATGGACTTTATATCGGATTAAAATAGTACTGATAGAATAGATTAAATAATTGTTAATATGCATTCTTAAAATAAGATCAACATAAAAACCCACACTAAGCCAAAAGATGACTTTGAAAAAAACCGTTGATAGATTAGTTTAAGCTATGGCAATCAGACAAGTAAACACTTAATCTTCCACGAGGATACAAATTCAAATAAGACATCTGGCTTTAATTTACTTAAAGATATGAAGACCAAGATGTTGTGGCCTCTGGTATGGTCGCAGTATCCTTTCGATTTATAGAAATGGGTTGACCTTTTTGTCGCAACTTGGTCCTGTTGTCAGGGAGACTTTGTAGAACGCACCTACTCTGAAGCCGTCTGCCATTGTCGTTATCGTGTCTCCCAGCGTGTAACAAGTCCACTGTCTGATGCTGGGAATCATGACAACTATACGGCAGACGACTTCGGACTGGGTGCGTTCTACCAAGTCGCCCTGACAACAGTAGCAAGTTGCGACAACGAGATCAACCCATTTCTTTAATTAACTTATTTCATTTTTTAAACACTAAACTAGGAAGTTCTTGCGCCTGGTTAATTTAAAAATGAATAAAACTAGTAAAGCTTGAATCTCTGAGATTCTCTCTATCCTTACGTATTGCTCGTGTAGTCTTCAGCGTTTATTGGACAGAAAACACGTTAAAAATGACGCTACCTAAATGATTAAAATAATTAAATATGTACAAGCTCACTCATATTGTTTGATAATTGTTTATTGTGCATTATATTTTACTTAAATTTAGATATGCCTAATCTAACCTCAATGTTTTTGATTAGTTTACTTCGGCTAAAGGCCTTTTGTGTTAATCCTTTTTGCTGGTAAAGGCTATGCTTAAATAGGAAAGATCATATTAAAAGATTATGAAATGGAAAATACAGTTTGATTTAGCATACAATGCAAAGACCAAGATAAGTAACTATTAGAATTTCTAACCTGTTGTGACCCAAGAGAAAGCCCTGACTGAGATTGTGTAAGTCCGTGAGCAAGTATGGTTGAGATAATGAGATATGAGTTTGTAAGCATGTAAGTCAAATTACAAAACCACTTGTCCTAACCTCTCAGTCTAGGTTCATTAACGTTCAACCCCCCAA